AAAAATCCACACTAAAACTAGAAGAAGAGGATATATACAACAGGAAATAGCCCACTTGCGCTTTCGAATAGTCACTTGTGACCTCTGTTGATGAAAGGGAGGAGACAGCTCGTGCGCTTCGAGAGAGGCCTTTGAGAGTCGAGAGAGAGCTGCATCTTCCGGCTCGATCCACTATCTTCTCAGACGGCTGGAGTAGAAAAGGGAGAGGTGCTCGGTGTAGTTCTGTGAATAGAGCATCTAGTTTTAGGTTGTCTTCTGCCCATGTGGCGTCTGGTGATATGTCGATGTGGAGGATGCCACAGGCGCAAGGGAGCAGTGGTTGGTGGCTTTCGGTGGTGGTGATCCTGGCGGTGCTGGCTGATGGTCAGCTGCTGCTATAGAACGCAAAGTCGGTGCCTAAACCAATAACCTCCCTGGTTCTGTCCTACGGAGCACTCTCTCGAGCTTCCAAGGTTACCATGGTGGTGGAATCAAAGCAGAGAGGAGATGGTGATCCTGTTTGGGTTTGTGCTCATCCTCGGTGGCTGATTGGAACTGAGTACGGCGCCAACCAAGGTGCTTGGTTATTGGCTGACTCCATGTCGCCGCCTTACATGCAGGTCGAAGAGTGGCCTTCTTATTTCTTCCTCTCGACCAAAGAGCCTAAGGGAGGCAACTCATCTAGTCATCTTCTTAATCCGTCTATGGTGTGGTGCCATAGAAGCTTCTCCGTCCGAAGAGGTGATGTCCCTGACGATGACGTGGCTACAACCATGAAGATGTCAGAGACCCGATCACGTTTCTCATCCAGTTGTTGAGGCCCTCTTTATAAAATGCATGACCAGTTTGCAGTTTCGGGGTCCTTCTGGATCCCTCTCTCATTCAAGCAAAATTCAACATGAAATGTCTGATACGCTAAAAGAACTCGCCCACAAATATATGTCTCCTTCGCGAAAGATTTTTCCTTTTCCACATAGATAAGTTCTATCGCATCATATTTTTGTCACGTCCTCTTTTTTAATAAGAAGGCTTTCTTTTTTAGCTCAAAGGTGTTGCATTTATCCTATCATCTTGTTGAGAACCGAGTTCAAAACCGAAAGGAACCAATCCAACGAAATACAAAACCAAGTTTTATCAATAGCGTGCATCCAACGAAATACAAAACCAAGTTTTATCATGTACAATTTAGCGGCTTTATCATATTATTGAGGCCAGTGATGGTGATTTGTGATGCAAATAAATTAGCGATGCGTCTTAGCTTAAATTTTGTTAGCATCATCGTCTTGCGCCTCCTTGCCTTCCCGGTAGTGGCATTTTCGCATTAACCACTAGGGACAACTATACGTCACTGCACTTAGCATACAAGCGCACACCGCAAAATAGGTGTGTCGCCGTGAATCGAACTTGTGATCTATTCATTAAGTCTTAACCGCATTAAACACTAGGGACAACTAACGCATGTGCCTTCATACTTCTTCATTTCTTTTTATTCTTTCTCAGTTCGTTGAAAGCCCCCGGTATAATTGCTTATTTCTGGTTCGCTGGACATTTTTACGGATGGTTTCTTCATTGTTATTTTCCTTCTGTTTCTTGTTCCTTTTTTTCTTTTTTTCTTGTTCTTTTTCCTTTGTCTTCTTTTTGTTTCTCTCAAATTCTAAAAAAATCAAATTCGTGAACTTTTTTCAAATTTATTAATTTTTTCTTCAAAATCGATGAAAATTTTCCAAAATCTATGAACAATTTTCTGGGTTTTGATTTTTTTTAAATGATGATCTTGTTCAAATTCGTGAACTTTTTGGTATTCAAGAACATTTTTCACAAAATCTATGAATTTTTTTCAAAAACAATGAAAATTTTAAAATCCATGAACATTTTTGAATTCACAATTTTTTTTATTTTTGCGAAATTTTTTAGGATTTTTTTCTAAAGTCAGCGGTTGACCATTCCAGCGCCCAGTCAACAGCGAACGAGCGAAGGGACTGTCCAGCCAAAAGCAACATGCCAAGCGAGCACGCGCGTTGGGCAGGCCCAAGTGTGTGGCTGCGTGAGCGCTACTTCCGCAAAGAAGCGCCCTATAGGAGCTCCCCCGGTAGTTTCCCTCTTGGATTCAAATCAGAGACGTTGACGCTTCTGCGTTACTCGTTTCAACTTGGCACTTGAAGATGCTCGGATGGCCCCTGCTGATTGCCGTTGGTGGTTTACTCATAAATGTATCATGATCTAGTAAGTTTATCACTGATCAATTTTCGAAGCCATGTACATTCCAGTAATGTTTTGTCAAATGTGGTGATGGCTTAATTATTATAGTAGTTGCTTGTGATTAAATGAGAGATACAAATTTATTTTATCTTTTGTTTTTGTGCCAGCTATACTTTTCTATGGAAAAGTGAAGATAAAGAATAGAATAAATTTAGAGGAGTGCTATTATATACCTACGACAAAGCACATACTATTTTAGTATGACACTAGTTAGTGTCATATCTAAAGCAATCATCATCAGTTCTCAACCAGCTCCGAGCTTTTCTTGGAATAAAATGGCAATCTTGATTAATTCATCTTTTCTCAGGTCATACTGTCTATTCTCATTCTAGAATCAAGATCATCACATCCCAAACACATAGAACAATGCTGATTGAACCGGCTCAATTAGTGTAGCAACACAATCTAATCATCCAACAATATAACATTTGGGGCACATATGTTCGTTTCAACCAAATATACTTTACTTTCATCCATCTTCAGCTTCAGCGAAATATAAACAGAGTACCTACTCTCACAAGTAACACTGTGGGAATAAAGATAACGTTTTCCATTGCACATCTTAATTAACCCCGCTACAAAATTCTGTCTCGGAAAATTATTAATCTGCAGCCCGAAAATCCATGATCTTTTGCATCACAAAACAAAATTATAAAGGTATCACCACAATGTATATATAAGGGAAAAAAGAGATAGATCGTATTGATTCACCTGGTTGATAAGTGTTGCGGAGCGGGAGACGAACTGGATTTCCATGCCTTTAAGGACATGCTCATCCTGCACCTTTTCAGACAAAGCTAGATGGTCGCTACATCGAACATGTCGACATTCTTCTTTCTTCTCACTGCTGTCATCTCCCAGCTCGGTTCAGTTCAAACATGGTCTAGCAGTCAGAAAACTAGAGGAGTTCGCTGCTACATAGAGACGGATGAAAGTAATCTGTTGTAACATATCAATTCTTCTCTGAAAGGAACTCCAGAAATTCTCAGAGCTTCTGCTAAAACTGGAGAGGTCAGCTGGCGCTCGACCTGTTCTCGATGATGGCCAACCAAACAAGGAGGTGTTCCAACAAATGATAAGCAAGGCAGAGCTGTTCCCTGGTCAAAAGCTTGTGACATTGCAATGTTCAGATACATGGTAATATACAAAATTGTTCCATCCTAGATGGGGCGCACAGTTTGCACAAGCGAAAGCTGATTGCAGTTACTACCAGATGCAGCCTGAATCCTTCCCGATCCTCCAGTCAAGATCAAGATAATAAGAACCTGGCAAACACAACCTCCAGGATCATTTTCTTCAAGGGAGATCAAGGAAGAGCATCCATCTATTAATCATAGGCTGGCAGTTTATAAGAAAAATTTAAACAAACTTGTTTTGCACAAAGATAAGAAGCCTGTCATATCTGCACCTTCCCTTTCATATCAACCAAAGTAAGTTTCTGAAACAAGAACTCCAGACAGCAGGCAGCTGGCAGAATATTCAACTCCAGATAGCTCTAGTCTAGTTGAAATAAACGATCTGAGAACAAACAATATTCTTCTGTTGTACTACTACATTTTCTCAAGGTAGCTGCGTGGTACCTGGAGTGTGCCATGTTCTTCCCAGGCACCTGAGAAGAGGCGCCTGTCTGTCCTTTTTGTTGCCGCCTGCAACAAGTTTGACATACATATGACGAGCAGTTTTCCCAGCTTCCATTCTGTAGCTACCACTCTTGTTTGAATCTTTGCTGCCATTTCATGTAGGGAAGGTCTCCAGAAAGACACCTTCTGTTCTTGGTTAATTAATTCACCGATGCTATCTAAAAAGAGAAGGATACGGGAGTTCACTTTGGATCCAATCCAAGGAACTGAAGATATACAGGTAGGGATAAAACAAAAATCACTAGACCAAGATTTGTATGATCTATACAGGTAGGGGAAAATACTAAAATCACTCGACCAGGATTATGTATGATCTATACAGGTAGGGGAAAAACTAAAATCACTAGACCAAGATTATTTGTGATATTAGTTGGGATTCAACCCTCTGCTCATTGCGGCAAATGTTTAGACTGACAAATGGGTGGCTGGCTCTTTATGAATATAAAACTGCTACACGCGTCTGACTCATTCCATGCCAATTTTAAAATAAATACATCATCAGTTCTGGAGCAGCTCGGAGGTTTTCTAGGAATAAATGACATTCCAGGGTCCTAAAAAGAACATTCAAGAATCAGGAATCGCCACATCACAAACATACACAGAAACAACGCTGGTTAAGCCGACTCAAACAGGGTAGCGAGCAACACAGCCAAAGCAATCAACCACACCAAGATATATATATATATATATATATATATATATATATATATATATGTATGTATGTATGTATGTATGTATTTCTCTGTGATTAACAGATCCAAAGCTCTACTGAATTCATTAGCTTCAACAAACACACATAAAAAGAACTTGCTCAAAGGCGGTGTTTTATGAAAATACTGAATGAATAATGTCAACTAGACATTTTCAATAGTAACCAGTCTGATTGACCCTTTCACAACACTAGCAGGTTCACAATCTGCAACAAAATTTAGGATAACCATAATAAACTGATTGTTATGGAAAGGAAGAGCAATTACAGTAGAATTTAGCCACATGGAACGACTAACACATGCCCAGAACAACAACCAGTGCTAGCTAGGCAAAACAGGCCAAGAGTAACATTGTTCTTTGGAAATTCAGTGGCATGATTGAAGCAGATTCCAATGTGCACAGACAAATTGTTCAGCCAAAAGAAGAGACGGTTCTTGGAGGAAGCACTGGCGTGGCTTGAGGTAAAGCTACTGCCCATCTGCATGACTCTGAGAACAGAGGAACATAGGGTAGAAACCGTTTTGGTTTTGTAATGCCTTTCTCAAGATTAAGGATACAATCAACTTTCTGATGTTGCATGTCATACGCTACCAAGGTATCACCTCCAGATGACATCAAGAAAACGGTGTCACAATCTGGATGAATCTCAGCAACCCTGTACTTCTCCCCAATCATGCCCATAAGCTCATTGATGTTGGCAGAACGCTTCAGAACCAATTCTTTACTGTCACGATCCTTGAGGCACCAAAGTGTTATCCCAGAACCTAGGATTTCATTACTATCATTGACTGAAACCGTTGAAGCTACAACATAGTGTAAGCACCCCTGCGACACTCCAATCGTGGAAGATCTTCGGCCGTACTGCACAGGGATAGTCTTCCACACTTCCCCCTCCGCGTCCACCACCATCAGCACGTACTTGTTGAAGCCCATCAGGTTGCCAATCAAATACATCATACCGCCGACGAAGACACATTTACTATGGAGCGGCACCACTTTCTCAACCATCCTACCACTCCTGAATCTCCATGCTCCTGTCCGCGACGAGTAGATGTTCACTCCTGTGATGTAAGCTCCCGGAACGGTCTGCTCAAAGTGAAGAACGTTGAAATGGGATGAGACTGCCGTATCAAAAGCAAGACTTGTGGTACAGCAATATCTGCTTGCGGGCACAGGCGGCCTAGGGGGCAGTTCCACCCACCTCCCAGTGGCGGGATTGCACACTAGAAAACAGAAATCATCCCAACTCTCCATCTTCTTCTTGAAGCCACAGTAGAGAAGGAGGCCATTGCAGGCGTCCAACTGGGTGATGCCGCCGTACTTGTTATTGTGCAGGTAAGGGATGGAAAGGTTGAACGGGGCTGCGCTGTCGCCCGAGACACTGGCGAAGTGGTGGCCGATCCTGTTGTTGATGGTCATGTAGAAGAAGCCAGCGAGGGTCTGGGGTAACTTCTTGCGGTTGGCGGGGTCAGTGATGAGGTCGCGCCAGGACACGGAGACGCACTTAAAGCGGTGGAGGGATCTGACGGGGAGGCGGGAGAGGATCTCCAGGATGAGGTCGTCGGTGAACAGGGGCAGGCCGACCGTTGGCCCCGGATGGCTGTCCAGCCAAGGCTTGGTGTCCCTCTCCAAGAGCTCCCCTTTCTCCGCCTCCTCCATGGAAGGGCCTGGGCAGGGGTCAGATCTGCAGATGGAGAGAGGGAATCACGAATCAGGCCAAAGAAAATCAGGTAGTAGCTGGTGGTGGTGACCTCTTCCTCGCCGTGGTGATTCGGGAAAGGTAGTACCTTGGTTTGGTTTAGGGCGGCGACGGGCGGCGGGGATGCAGCCGGCGGCGACGAGCTTCTGGGAGCGACACAGACAGGAGGACGCTCAAGAAAGCTTTTCTTCTCCAGCCGGACTGAAAAAAAATAAAAAGCCCAGTCCAGTTGGAGGTGTGACTCACTATTTTTTAACCTTCGATATTATAAGCAAACAATGCCTATAGAACTAGTACAAACGAGCTACAACTACAACTCATTCATAGATTTATTTATTATTCATATATTAAACGAGCTAAAACTACATCTGAAAATAAAAATCACATATACTACAAACTAATATATCTACTTCTTGTCCGAGGGGATCGGGATCACCCCTTCGCCAGAACGACCGGCCTCGTGGTCATTGGCGGCATGAGGCATCTGCGTGTCCTCGTCTACACAGGTCTTCTTCGGCTCTTGGTCATGAATGAAGATCCTGTGGTGGTTCGTCGACACCACCCGCTCATCCTCCATGGACTCCAGAATGGCACGCATTTCAGCAATGAGGGACGGGCCGTCATGGAGCTCGACGAGGGCGGCAGCGTTCGTGCGCTCCGCCTCGAGCCGCACCTCCCCCACGAGGTGCTACTCCAACATTTAAGAGGCAGAAGTGCTCCCACACGTCCTCCATTAAGAGGTGGGTGTGATGTCGGCCCGCCGACAATGCTGTCGCCATCTCCAATCTGGGCCCAACTGGGTCGACCGCCATAACCACCTTCTCCAAACCTTCCCCCTCCTCGTCCAAGCCTTCTCTAGACGGGTTTTTCCACCACCGGGTTTGAACCTTCCCTAAACCTGTTTTTCGTGTTTCTTTAGCTTTTTCTTCTTTTTATTAGTTTTCTTTTTTCTTTTACATTTCTATTTTATTTTTGTTTTTCTCTTTCTTTCATTTTTTCACATTCACAAACCTTTATAAATTTTGTAAACTTTGTTTTCCAGATCACTAATATTTTTCAATTCATGTACTTTTATGAAATTGTGAACAATTTCAAAATTTGTGCACATTATTAAAAACTTGTCAACATTTTTGGAATATGATAATAATTTTTGAATTTGTGAAAAACAATTCAAACTCGCAAAATAACCTTCAAAAATCGTGAACATATTTTTCAAACTTGTGCACATTTTTTGGAATTGAAAATATTTTTCAAATTATTATCAGTCCGCTATACACTGGAGTTCTATAGGATGGCGGTTTGACCCACAATGTTGTATGACGTTGAGTATTGACCGACTAAAAGGCGACATGTTCAACAGCTAGTTGGGCGGAGATGAGTATGTTGAGATGGATGTGTGGCCACGCGAGGAAGGATCGAGTCTGGAATGATGATATACGAGATAGAGTTGGGGTAGCATCAATTGAGGAGAAGCTTGTTCAACATCATCTGAGATGGTTTGGGCATATTCAGCGCAGGCCTCCAAAAGTTTCAGTGCATAGCGGACGGCTAAAACGTGCGAAGAATGTCAAAAAAGGTCGGGGTAGATCGAATTTGACATGTGAGGAGTCCGTAAAGAGAGATCTAAAGGATTGGAGTATTACTGAAGAACTAGCTATAGACCGAGGTGTGTGGAAGCTTGCTATCCATGTGCCCGAAGCATGAATTGGTCGCGAGATCTTATGGTTTTCACCTCTAGCTACCCCAACTTGTTTGGGACTAAAGACTTTGTTGTTGTTGAAAATATTTTTCAAATTCATGATTTTTTTGAATTGGTGAACATTTTAATGGAATTCGTGAACAATGTTTTGATAATCACGAAGACTTTTGAACCACAGCGAACATTGTTTGATGTTAGTGGAAAAATTCTGAACTCACGGACATTCTTCTAACTTCATGGACATCTTTTGACTTCGTGAACAGTTTTTGAAAACTGTGAACATTTTCCGAATTCATGAGTATATTATTTCCAAATCATGAATATTTTTGGAAATTTGTGGACCTTCTTTTCAAGTTCGTAAAAACAAAATAAACTCATGAAATATTTTTAATCCACATTTTTGGTAAAAAAAAATTCAAACATTTTCTGAAATTCATGAACATTTATTGAATTCGTGACATAATTTTCAATTACACCAAAATTTGTTTTGAAATAGGTTAGTTTTATGAATACAAGAATTGTCTTCAATATTAAAAATATTTTTTGAATGTACAAACATTTTTTGAATGCAAGAGCATTTTCAAATTGTTGAAGATATTTTAAATTCGCTTTTATAAAAAAATCATGAACAATATGAAGCCAAAAACCCAAAAAAAGAAAGGCAAAACAGGGCATATAGGCCGGCCCAAATCATGCAAGGGAGGTGTGGCGTTTGTGCCCTCTCGCACGGTTGCTGAAATGCACTGTAATGGGCGCCTACAGCGCTAAATAGGAAATGCCTCTCGCACGGCCAGGTTGCAGAATAGAAGTTGTATAAAAAAGGTCGCTAAATAGATGACTCCTTTTTTGTACCTTTTTGTTACCTTTTTGAAGTTCGCCTCATGACGCTTTATGACGATGTCAACGGAGGTACATCATGGATTACATAAGAGAAAATTCATTATGAGACTCATAAGAATATTTTGCCAATTGATGTGCCACTTGATTTGCTTCTCTCAAGCAGTGATGAAACAAAATACCAGTAATCATATGTGCTCTAGTAGAACTCCTTTTTAATCTAGCGAACTCTATTCTAAAATGGAAAGCATACAGACTAGCCCAGAGACCACCGCCTTCTTCCCACCTCCGGGACTCAGCGCCGCATCGCCGTTGGTCCCGGCTCACTCCTTGTAAGGAGGTCGCGGGCGCAATAGCCACCAGCACCGCCACCACTGTCGCATGCGCAGGCCGCACCCTGCAGCGTCGGCGGCAGATTTCTCAGAAAATGTCCACGCCTTCGGAATCTCCCAGCTTTCTACGACGCAGCTCAACTTCTCCAGGAGCATGCCAGTTTTCGCAAGCTGCTGGAGGTCTTCATCGTCTGCTGTGACGACAGGTTCGTGTCCTCTGCGGTTTAGAGATTTTTTCGTGTGAATTTTATCGCTAGTTAAGCGACTAACTTTGCACTCGAATTTCTAACAGTTGGAGATTTAGCGAGGCCACTGCCCCTTACAAGCATACAAGGCTCAGATTGCCAAGTCTACACACCACTGTTCAATTTCAGTATGAGTGTGAATCGGCATGCTAGCAGCAGGAATTCTGACATGGTAAATTCCTTGCTTATCATCCTCCGAGGTTCTCATTAGCATACCAAACAGCTCGTTTGATGGTAGTTACTAGTTCAAATTTGTGTCCTCGGAGTACTTCAAACTAGCAGGATTAGTCCAATGGAGATGTTGGGTGGCGCCCTACCGGCGCGTGGTGGGAGAAGCCAGTGTGCGGGAACTTCGCCAGGTGGGCACGGTTGGTTGGCATGGCCAAAGCGGTGAAGCATGGGTGAAATTGTGTAGAAAAGGTGTGGTGGTGCGGCGGCAGCTGGCAGGTTGGGTGTCTATGTTGGAATTGGTCTCACGGTAAACAAACCAAGAGAAAAATAAGAGAGACAAAGTCTCCACACTCTCACAAATGTGCCTTGATCGGGAGCACATATAACAACTTTTGGTTTTGGTCCCATGTACCTAGCACACACATATATAAGGAAAAGGGGGGGTTTTGTTACAAATAACAGAACCACGATCAAAGCCTCCTAACTGCCGAACCTAAATGTGTGGTTAGGTACATGAAGGCGCTATGGATCTACTCTGATTGCCATGGCAACCAGATTAGGAAGGCGATGGAGGTAGGGGATCGAGAGGTAGGAGACGACGGTGGGCCGGACTGGGGATCGAAAGGAGGCCGGGACGACTGGCGTGCTGGGTCGTGCGGGCAGCGCGATCGTTTGCCCGGACGTGTGGGCGATTTTGTCACACACCGGACATACGGGCTGTGGCTGCGCGCGCCCAGATGCGGTCGTGCGGGCGGGGTTGTCTCCGTGTCACACAGGGCATGCGGAACAACCACCTAATACACCACACGTGTAACAGTTATCGGCGTCCTATATTTTTGGTTTAGAGTATGCAGACATAATCAAAGAAGGTAAGAAGAGAGTCTAGATAAATTTATCTATCCGTGCTTGGAAACCGAGTAGGGCCACGTCCCACTTCTTTGCTCTATTTTGCAGGATATATCTTGCGTAGTGGGTGTTTTTTTACTGGTCTTCTTTACTTCCGCGGCTCTCGGACGATGGACCAGACTTGCTTTGCGAATAAAACTTTGCTCTCGGAAAATAGGAACTGGATGGAAGTATATTAGAGAAGTAAGAGAGGGTGAAATGCATGCAAAAGATGATTAAATTCTCAGAATTGATGCTAGCCCTTTGTGGCTATAAGGACGTACGTCTCTCCTCCCTTTGTCTCCCCACCAAGAAAAGGGACTATGGTTTCTGCCCGTCGGCGGCGTCGCCGATCTCCCACGTCTCCTATGGCCTTAGGGCCATGGGTGCATGGTGGATCCCGGCCCTTACCGATGGGAGGGCTCCGTTTTCATGTGCTTCTTCAAGTTTTGTTAGGGTTTGTGTCCTATTCAAGAAGACATGACGATGGCGGCTTCTTGAATTTGGAGTAAGGTTCTTCCCTCTATCCCCCGTCCCAATGGTGTGTCTAGCATCGTCGGAGAGTGTGGAGGAGTGTCTCCGGCGGATCTCGCTGGATTTGATCAGTGGTTTCTTTGGTGGATATGCTCGGATCCGGTCTTTGTTCGTCTTTTTTCATGTGTCTTCAGGTTGGATCCTTCGGATCTAAGGGCATCTCCAGCCGTTGGCCCCCCAGGAGGGGCAAAAAATCGCCCCCTGGGGGCGCGCCGGCGCTAAACCGCGCACTGGGGGCGTGATGCCCCCCAGTCGCG